TTGTTCGTGTGTGCATGAGCGGATGAGAATATTCCAACGGGACTGTAGGAAGTGGCTACGCAGATAGGAATTGATAGTCCCCTGGGTTGGTTTCATGGTTGATCCACGGTACTCGACCCTGCGGGAGTGCTTGCTGTGTCGGGGCACTCTCTCTCTCCCGCCGCGTCCTGATCGTGTCTGCTGTCCTAAATACAAGTGATACCATCATCTTCAACACACATACATGGGTATAGTAACACTCTTTTAGAGTGTATCCCTCGAGGGAACCCGTGCTGGGGATGAGTGGCGCCGATGTTGCAGCAGAGGCTGCCGACGTCACCACTAGTACGCAGGGCAGAGTTGACAACCTGGAGAGCATAGTTTCAGGCCTGACGGACGAGGTACAGCAGTTGGCTGGGCTGCTTCGATCTGCCCTCGGAAAGCTAGAGAAGGAGGGGGAGTCCGGCGGCGCTGGGGTGGGCGCTGTCGCGACGGGCGATGCGCCCACCCGCGGTACCCAGGAGGGGGCACCACAAAACGAGGGAATCACGCCACCCTCAGACCCGGCGGTTGGGCCGGGTGGCGAACGTGACAGGGGATCGCTCCCCCAAGGTGAGACAACCGAGACATATGGCGGCGGTACCGGTGGTTTTGGCGGATTCGTCGGAGAAGAAGATGGTCTTCACCAGAACCCAAAATGCGTGTGTCAGTGCACGCGCCGCGTCTCAAAGGCGGCCAGGGATATTACTCGTGGAGAAGGGCCTTTGTCCAGGCTGCTAAAACAGTAGACATGGACGGCCAGTTCGTAGGGGCCACGGAACCCCAGCCGGACGTCGGGGACATGAACAAACCCAAAGCTACGTTGCTGGCAGAGGGGTACTCCGAGGCGCAGATCCACCGCAGCCTCCAAGCTTTCCACTTTCTGTCCTCGGCCCTGGTGAGGGAGCCAGACAAGGCCGTCTTCGGGAGATGTGTGACTGGATTGTGGAACTTCTTTCTTGACGGTATTTCGTGTTTGATAATATTCGTAGCGAAGTTGGTAAATCCTCGTGAGTTGTCATGACTGTACTTTGGTTGAAGAGCCAGGGAGGGTGTTCCGTGTTTCTCGTAGGCGTTCGCGCCCACATGTTCAGTATTTCCTGATAGTCATTCGGTTGAGACCCTCATTGATTGCGGCTAAGTGGTGCCGTTCGCTAGGTTGCGCAATGTGCAGGAAAATGGGATACTGTTGAAACCGCTGAAGGAACGTAGAGGGAACAATTGGGACACCAGTGTTGTACTCCACGAGAAAAGAGGATTGCCGAAAAAATGCATGCCGGTTATGTGTCGCTCAGAAAATGTTGGATGACTGCCTTCCGCCCCGGTGCGCTGTATTTCATCAGCGAGGGGGGGCGATTTCGATGTTTGTCTGAGTGCAGCCGCATTGTAGTTGTTTGAACCAACTCCTCAGGATAGTCTTGCACTTTTACTGCTTGCCAAGCGTTGGGATAGGGCGTTTGATGGAACGGTGAATATTGGTGGGGGTTTTGACCCGGAGGCCGGGTTTCCCCTTGTTTTTTTTCGTTGGTCTTTTGTCCGTTTGGGTTTTTGGTCACATCCGGCGTGTGAATGCCCACTAAGTGGTTAGTTACTAGCGTAAAGGACCAGGGAGGGTGTTCGTGTGTGCATGAGCGGATGACAATATTCCAACGGGACTGTAGGAAGTGGCTACGCAGATAGGAATTGATAGTCCCCTGGGTTGGTTTCATGGTTGATCCACGGGACTCGACCCTGCGGGAGTGCTTGCTGTGTCGTNGTGAATGCCCACTAAGTGGTTAGTTACTAGCGTAAAGGACCAGGGAGGGTGTTCGTGTGTGCATGAGCGGATGAGAATATTCCAACGGGGCTGTAGGAAGTATCTACGCAGATAGGAATTGATAGTCCTCTGGGTTGGTTTCATGGTTGATCCACGGGACTCGACCCTGCGGGAGTGCTTGCTGTGTCGTGGCACTCTCTCTCTCCCGCCGCGTCCTGATCGTGTCTGCTGTCCTAAATACAAGTGATACCATCATCTTTAACACACATACATGGGTATAGTAAGAGCTGCTGGGCCGCCTTAATCTCCTTAGACGCTTCGGAGATCTCGTGCTACGCTTCGCTTGTGTACCAGCCTCTCTGCTCTCGTGCGCACCTCGCCAGCGGCGCGGTCTCAGNCTTCCAAGTACATGGGTATAGTAACAACCCTTTCCTCACTTCGATAGAGAATCGGTGAATAGGACTACGGTTCCCGGTCGACTTTCGCTATTGATACGGTCTTCTTCCCTCCTGTCTCTGCCGCAGAAGTATTTGCTCGATGTCGAAGTATTTGCTTCCCGCGCAACACTTTGCTGTGTGTTCGCCACAGAGAGAGGTACCCACTACTGTTGCAGCAGTGGTAACGTGTGTGTATCATGAACTCTCAGCCCCTTGGTGTAGATGACCAAGTAGTGCGCTCACTTTCGTTTCCGCTGACCGTTGACGATCTCCTAAGTCTCCGAATCCGAATTTCCACCCGAGGTCTACAGACGGATGTTGTTGTAGTCCATAGTAGGATGTCTTGACCTCCGTCGTGATGTCCGCAGCTCCTAGTGTTCGCGTAAAGCGAGGCTCATATCCTCACAAAAATGTGACGTTCTGCAGCAGCGGAGGTGGCGGTGCTGCTGTAGCTCGAAGACTTTGTAGTCTATCACAGAGGTTACACTGCTGTCACCGCGGTGCTGCTGTAGCTCGTAGACTTTGTAGTCTATCACAGAGGTTACACTGCTGTGAGATCGGTAGGCCCGAGCGAGCTTCGGAAAGAGAAATAATGTAGATAAAATAGATGTTCTTATCAACTGACTCCCTGGTCAGGCTTTGATGGGTGCTAGAAGAAAGTGAGAGGGGTGGCGAGCTTAGGGCTGCACCACTCTTCTCGAATACCGGACAAATAAGCCAATCACACGAAAGATCTAGAATGCTTCCAGAATATTCCGGAAGCCCTCCTACGATCTAGAAGAGTATCAAGTGCAACCTAGGTCTAGAACGCTTCCACAAGCTTACAGAAGCTTTTCAGAAGCTTACAGAAGGTTTCAAGAAGCTACACACGTTCTTCGTAGATGCCCCGGTTGACCTTGACCTAGCCTGCTTCCGAAATATTTCTAGAACAAGAGGGTCTCCGGGGTATTGGCCCGAGTACCGGAATTTCGGGGTTCGGAACAATACAACGACTACAGTCTCGCCTGCCAAATTATCTCCGCTACA